ATGTTAACGATGTCTATATATAAATACTACCGTCGTATTTGCATGCTTACCCGAAGCTTTGGATTTGTTTGAATACAAAGTGCAAATTATTCCACGAGCACACACTCACTCACTCTCTCTGTCTGCGTGAAAAAGTTAGTGCTACCGGCTGAGTGGATAAATTGTAGAGCTTCCACGAATTCTTTACCATGGCACACTCGTTCTTAATTGCGTGGTAAATGGCGATATGCTAATGATTATAATCTATAATCTTGGGTATCACTCCTCGCACTGCTCCCAGCACAAAAAACAAACAAAGAACCCCCGTATAGCCTTTAACAGACTGTTGGGGCAAGTGCTGTTAGCGAGCACCTATGAAGGCCGGAACGGTACACGAGGGGGTGGGTGGCCAGCACCACGCCCGACCGCCTTTGTCTCCCCAGTGGCGATGTTTACACACCGCACCAGGTACTCATAATGAGGCTGAGTCGACCTAGGGGAGGCCCGGGACCGGTTCAGATAATCGTCACTGGTGTTGGCCGTGAGTGGGAATCGAACTCGGGTGGCCCGGTTCATAGCGCAGCGCGCTAACCGCTGCACTATCGCTCCCCCAACACGGACACACACACACGGACACACACACACACACGGACACACACACACGGACACACACACACGGACACACACACACACACGGACACACACACACACGGACACACACACACACACGCACACGCGTTTTTTAATTGAAGATTTGTGTAACGGCTAACACTCTCTTATAATTTTCGATCAACGTCCAAACTCTTATTATTATGATGATTTTCACATTAAATTAACTGATGGCAGTATATCTACCGGTAACAAAAACAAACAGGATACAGGCGCAGCCCTGCAACAGCTCGCTCACGCAACTGTTAGCGGAATGGGGGGGAGGGGGGGCTCCAGCTGGTCATCTCGGAAGAAGGTGACGGGATTCATCTTCTTGGTTCTTTCGGTAAATTCACGTAGAAGGGAAGTAATACAATAATAAAAATAAAACATAACAAAATAATTCTCACGACGTTTCGGCCACAACTCAAGCAGCCGTCTTCAGACTCTGCCTTCTCGACAGACCTGTTTTCCACCTGAAGACGGCTGCTTGCGTTGTGGCCGAAACGTCGTGAGAATTATTTTGTTATGTTTTATTTTTTATTATTTTATTACTTCCCTTCTACGTGACTTTACCGAAAGAACCAAGAAGATGAATCCCTGCAGTCACGAAAGCTTTTAATCGAAAGGTGACGAGAGGTACCCACATTCATACACCACCGCATGGGCACTTTCCCGATGAACTCGCTGACTGCGGGTTTGACCCCATTTGCTTGTGCCGAGTGGACAGAGACGATTACGGAGGTTGGAGCGGGGGGTCAAGAACCATGCCCTCCCCCCCCTCCTGCCCCCGTCCCGTCAATCAATAAGGATGCATCTAGATTTGAAGCTTTCGTGATTGCAGTAATCCATACTCTTTGGTTCTTTCGGTAAAGTCACGTAGGTAGACAAATGAAAGAAATCACGACGTTTCGATCGCAACACAAGCAATCGTCATCAGGTGGGACAGCAGTTTTTTCTTGCTGTGGTTGTCCCACCTTGATGATGATTGCTTGTGTTGCGATCGAAACGTCGTGATCTATTAATTTTCTACCCACGTGACTTTACCGAAAGAACCAAAGAGTATGGATTTCCGCGTTCACGAAAGCTTCACGTCAACAATGCTGCTGCAATTTGCAACGCGCGCAAATGTCGGAGAACAGGAGGGCCGCGACTCAGAGGACGCGGAGCCAAGCTCAGAGTCACTTCGAAAGTCGGGTTGCAGATGTGAGTCGTTAAGCTGTGCAGAGTTTTCAAGTTTCATGTATTAGGTAATAGCCCTGTGAGCCATTCGGCTCTTGAATCGGATGCAACCGCAACAAACAAAAAAATACAAAAACATGAATAAGAAAAGTGACTATGTGAAAACAGAAAATCCAAGAAAAGACGGCAAAATATTGCAGAAAAAGCAAGTCAAACAACAACAACAACCACAAGACAACTTAGATTAAGGCCATCAGTCTAACTCTGTACTACAACAAACAAACATGGCCAAACCGAAAAAAACTTTTCAAAAATCACCAAAATAAAGCCATAAAAGCAATGAAACAGTGCAGGTCATAGGAACTGTGACCGAATTTTCACAATAAAACTACGTAAACAACACG